GGCGGGAACTGCCGTACATGACTTTCTGAATGGCCGGGAGCCACGCTAAGTCTTCATACGTTTACTACCTAGGTGTAGTTTAGTCTTTCCATGTTTCAGACATGCCGTTTAAGCGTCTATGTCGTCTTTTCTGTATTTCTTGTATAAGCACGAGTTTTCACAATAAATCCATTATGTGTTTCTAAACCCTTTGGTAGTAATGCAATTCTTCTCCCTGCGTTGGGTGTTTACTCTAGAACCTCTTCGTGCTCTATTTCATGGTAGGTGAATCTTAGATAGGATCCAAGTATAATGTCACGACGCGTACTGCTGCCAGTTCCAAAGCCTTGTCCTATTTTCAGATTCCACGCATTTGCATTTTTAGTCAACTGCGCCGGGTATGCACATTGACTCTTTGTATCATTGCAATTGTATGTAGTGTATTTATTAGAGATGACCTTTTATCGGTAAAATCGTTAAAATTGAATTTTATACGGGTGAGATGGTTTCATCCGTATCAGCGTGCGTGTTCAGTGCTGATCCCTAAGCGAGCAAAAAGCTCTTCAAGAGCTGAAAAAAAAAAAGGTCAGCTACGTGGAGACGCATCGGAAACGAACCTACCCGCGTCGTCGGGACGTCTGGCTTGGACGGAAGACACACGTGTCTCAGCATTCACTACAGGGTGGAAAGTTAGATGTCGTGATAAAAGACAAGAGTGTGAAGAGTAACAGTACCAGAAATGCGTGACGCAGGGGAGGCGGTGGCCGCACGGGCATCATTCAATTGTACCATGTTGAGAGAATAAGTGGAGAGGCGTTCGAGAGTAAGGGGATTGGGTAAGAGAGGATGCGGCTGAGAGTTTGGACTTTATGTGAAGCGGAAGAGAGCTTCTTTGCTTCGTTCCCACAAGTGAAGGAACCTTATTGAGTGTATACACAAAAGAATTGGATACGTACATACCTGCTTTTCCGCATGTCTGCCCCAACGGTAATGGAGAGTTCGACGATGGATGGGACTCATGAGAGTGGTGTGTAAGTGATTATCGCCAAGCTTGTCCAACCCTAGACTGATGTGATATTCTTGGAAATCAAGGGTCGATGCACAGCCATTGCTCGTAACCCTGAAGAAAGGCTGGGCGAGAGGGGTTCGTGCGAAGTTCCTGAAAGCTCACCTCGACGATTACAAGGCGGCCATTCTTGTGTCGAACGAAAAGGCTAATTCTGTGCTCGACGACATCGTTAATCAATGGTTTCAAACGTTCCACTGGTCTATCCCCATACCCAAGCGTCTTGAAGACAACGAAACGATCCCCCCCTTACCGGTCTTTGCTATGACCTCCGATGGGTTCGAGGTTTTGTCCCCGGCTGATGCTGCGCTGAAAGGGAAAGTAATTGAGCGTATGAGGAAGGTATGTGCTTAACTTTATGATTGGAATCAGTGGCACTGTACTGATCTGCTTCGAGTCCCTCTATAACTGGTTCGATCACCGTTCAAAAAAGACCAAGTCGCTGCAACGATCAAAGAAGTCCCAAGACCCAATTGCTACATTGGTCGATCGACTGCTGGGCAGCCCGTCGAGTCCTCCCAAGCTCCGTGCAGGCTGGGAAGTTTGGGGAGCGGCCAACTTTACTTCAATGAAGGAGGCATGCAACCTCGCGTTCGCGGACAGTGGCAAGCCTGAGCGTGAACGTGCCGCGTTCCGCAACACTTACAAAAAGACCGAGTTTCTGAAACTGAGCGAAGAAGAGCAAACACAATGGAACGAAGATGCCCTCGATTCCCATACGAAAGCCAAGCAGGAGTGGAAGGAACGCCAGGGGGGGACTCTCCAAGAGATGTGCCCAGCCGACGCGCAACAGTAAGTAGCTTGCTNGCGCTGATAGTTCTTCTCTCACATCCCGTTATTACTAGAGCATTTGATGGTCTGCCAAATCTTCTCGGGCCCCTTCTCGAGGGCATAGGCAAGTCACTCAAAATGCACTTTTCCATCTTTATTGGCGGTCCTGAGCCGATACAGCAGGGGAATATCAACGCGGTAACGTTGGTGTTTATTTATCTCATAAATTGTATTACGGAGCTGACTATGATCGACTTTAGTCTCCATTATGGTATGAACAAGGCACCCGTTCCCAAGGAGTGGGCGTTGGCGGACGTCGAAAAATTCTCCATCGTCAAGAACGTGTTTCTTGAATTTTTGAGTACTTGCTACTGTAAGGGACTGTCACTTTATTCGTGTTACATCTATTGACTGTCGCCTTCAGCTCCCGATGAACGACGGGCACGAGCTCTTCCTGCGGGTGACAAAAGTAACCCTATTTCGAATGACTTACCCAACGCGCTCCCGAGCTCGCCCTCTGCCCCCCAATCGGCGGATATAACTCTGACCAAACAAACGGTGAATGCGCCACGTTCTTCGGCTTTGCGGAAAGGGAAGGCGAAAAGCGATCGAACTTCAAAGAAGCCTGCGCCACGTAAGGCTGCACCTTCCAAGGCCCAGAAGGGAAAGAGAAAGCGAGCCGCAGCATTCGTTGAGTCTGATGCAGAAGATTCTGACGATGAAAGCTCGTCGTCATCGTCGTCGGAGGAGGAGGAGGAGACGAACTCTGAGGGCTTAGGGAGTGGCAAAGATGATGAGCCCTCCCATCTGCTGTCATCAAGCATCACCACGCGTAGCACTAGACGCACCACGATGGACCCCAAGCGTTTAGAGCGGCCAGAAGAACACGTTGAAGCAGTCGTCACGGCAATTACTAATTTATCTCAAGTGGAGCCCGTTATCCCACCTCCTTCCTCTCGTCCTAGCTCGCCGTCTCTTGCGCTACCCTCGCGCAATTCCCCCCTACCAACCTCTGCCTCGCCTCCTATCCCTTCTCCAGATCACACCACATTACCTGGCTCGACGATGGACGGTTCCCCTCTCCTGGATCCCAAGTGGCCCACGTGGTTCTCGAAGGCCTTCTCATTTCTGGCAGGTCGAGATCTAGGCCCAGCCTGGACCCAAGCGTTCCGTCAGTACATCGAGCTGGAGCGTCGCAACGGGTTCAGCATCGGAGGACCTCAAGCTGGTTTTAAGAAACAAGGGCGGCCAGACGAAGTCGATTGGTGGGTGGGCCGCGCTCGCATGAGGTCTCCCGAGATCAAGAACGTGTCGTCATTTGAGGCGAAGTGGTGGACGTGGTGGAAATTATTGCAGCCAGGTTGGCGTGGGGTTGCAGACGTGGAGGGGCCCTTGGGTCCAGCGCATCGTAAACAAGCCACGGGGGAGGATGGATGGTCAGTTGTGGACAAGCACGGTCAGAACGTGTTCTTGACCGTGCTGGCTACGTTGGTGTGGTGGGAGTCTGGCCTGTCAGGCAACGGACAAGATGATTCCAGCTGGCAAGCTGCCGTGGAGGACGTCAGCTGGGTCATGTCACAAGTGATGAATGCAAGGTAAATTTGTTCTCCCTCATATAATTTTCATTTCGGTTGCTGATGTCCAGTGTATAGTATATCCGTCACCACTTCAAAACCCCCCACCAAAAAGCAGAAGATCTAAGTTACCATTGGACGCTGCAGTACGACACGCGTTCGAAGTGCGATCCCTTCCATAGACTATAGTTACATTTGGTAACGCACGGGCTTCTTATTGGACCAATCATATCTACATTTTGAACATTCTTGTTATTTACGCTACACTTTTGAGTCTTGTTACTAGTCTACTATGATGTACTAATAGAATTTCTTGTGTGTAAAATGTCAGCTTGTCTCAACGTTTACTTGAACCACATCACGTGATGTTGAGGGTCGAGTGAGTCTCAAACGCGTTTCGCAACGCGCACGTAAGACTGCTTAAATGTGACTGGTTAGCGTGAACGCGGCTAGAGTATAACAACACACAAATCATATAGGAGCTGAGGTGGTAGGTAATGTTCTGATTCAGTCCAGGATGGAGTGCAGAACAGAATTGTAATAAATGGAAAACATATGGAGAAAAAACATACGAAGGCGGAAAACATATCAATGGGCGGAAAACATAGCAATAGGCAACATGCAGAGTGGGAGGGACGGATATCATGATTATGCGGAGAGGCGCTTGACAACGTAGTGTCAGAATTGACAGGCGGATGCATTGATTGATGGGAGGGAACAAAAGTAGCTAAAAATACATACCCGTGAAAACATATTCTGTTGTTTGAGCAACACGGAAATCATACGGCGTATTATTAGCAGTGATTGACAGCCGTAGCGCAACAAAATCGGATGAAAAGAAGCTATATTGATGGGGGGAACATCCTAAAACATAGGTGCTAATAATAGATGCCAAATATCAGCACCATTAACGACATTCTTGCATAAAACCTAATGTAGGGTCATATTAAACTGTGGTAAACATTATTCTACTGATATTTTCATTTTGGAAAGGTTTTTTTTCAAAGAGACCAAGTTTCCACAGCCTATGGCATTTTGAACAAGTGGCCAATTGTGTACGCTATGGAAATGAATAAGGTGGAACAACCCGGGTCAATTTGGTCTTAAACTACAGCCTGGGCTGATCTGGCTCAGGAAAAGTTTGCCCATACGCTGAACGGGCATCGTGAGGGAGTTTGAAATCTGGTAGCTTGATATTGATGCCATATGATCAAAGAGCTGCTTCAATGAGTTGAATCATTGTGGAGATGATGAACTGAAGTGCTTGCAGGATAGTGTTTGCTGCAGATCGACTAACACCAGCCCTGAGATGGAGCCAGACCACAAGCACACAAACCATCTTGATGATCATTCCAGTAGAGATTAAAACATCTAGAATACTGTTAGCAAATAGGGGAAGATATAAATTTTTCCACACCCTTTGGGAGATCTGGCGCTTGAGGTTGTTTAAGAGCTGAACTTGAGGATGCTCAATGCTTCCGCTTTGGAGAATGCCCATCTTTATCACGCTTCTCGTGCTCCCTACGAGTTTGTGCAGAAACCTCCTTGCCTGGGTGTTCAATACCCTCGATAATTACCTTGCACTTTTTGCAGTATGAACAGGTGCATATGACAGGGGGCATTTCAGATGGGGGAGCGATGTGAATGGCTTCGGAAGATATCTGATTGAATGTCAAGATATATCTTATGTAATCAATTATTCAAATTTAGTAATTAAAACAATCAGCCGAGACCTGTCAACCAGACAAACTGCGGAACATAGGCAGATCAACTGCCCTTAAGGCAGTTGATTTCCAACTGCCCTGGTGTTTGCCTCCGGTGCCAGTGTGTGTGTTTGAGGCATGCCATAATCAGGGTGAGACAAGTGAGTAGGTTAGTGATGGTTCCAAGGTAGGATCGTCACATGGAAGGCACATAATGTCAACCTGGAAACCAGGTTTCCCAAAAATGATGGTAGGGTGATGGTAAATTGGTGGCTATGACATGGCCAAAAGGCCTCAGGCAAAGCTTAACCATTCATACTGGGGAGTGATGGATGTTCATGCAGTCCCCAGATAATGATTCCATGTATTTACTGTACAGTAGTCCACATGATAATGTAATGTCATCCACCTGGGATCCATCTAGATGATCCATGAGCTCTTACTAGCCAGGAAATTTCTGGTAACAACTGAGAAGATTCAGCTTCTTTCTTAATTTTCCAATATGCAATAGATTACAGTGTACTACTTAAAATTGTGTATGCCCACCTTGAATGCCACGCTTTCTTGGAACCACTTCAAGTTGCAAGACCCAATTCATTGAAGTCCGTTGAAACTCCGACATCATGTGATTATGTTGAATTTTGAATTTCCATTATTCTTCCTTCCCACCACATTGTAACTTGACAAATGGCATCCTCCCTCCCTCATCGATGAACAGTGTTCTCCCTCACTTGAAGAACGGTGTCCTCCCTCCCTCATTGATGAATGACATCCTCCCTCACTTGAAGAATGACTTCCTCACTTGGAGAATGACTCCCTTGCTTGAAGAACGGCTCCCTCCCTCCACAAACGGCATCTTCTCTTGAAGAACGGCTCCCTCCCATGATGAACAGTGTCTTCCCTCACTCGTTGGTGAATGGCATCCTCCCTCCCTTGTTAGCGAACAGTGTCCCTCACTTGAAGAATGGTGTCCCTGCCTCGATGGATGGCTCCCTCCCTCCTTTGTTGATGAATGGCTCCCTCTCTTGAAGAACAGCTCCCTCCCTTGAAGAATGGCTCCCTCCCTTGAAGAATGGCTCCATCCCTTGAAGAATGGCCCCCTCCCTTGATGAACGGCTCCCTCCCTCCATGAATGGCAGTGTCCCTGCCTCAATGGATGGTTCCCTCCCTCGCTTGAAGAACGGCTCCCTCCCTCCATGAACGGCATCCTCCCTCCCTTGTTGACGAATGGCATCCCTCCCTCACTCATCAACGATCAGCGTCCCTCACTTGAAGAACAATGCCCCTGCCTCAACAGATGGCTCCCTCCCTCCTTTGTTGACGAATGCTCCTACCTGTGTGGAAGTGCGTCATGTTCCATTCACGACGCCTTCTGTATTTTGAGTTTTCGTTTCTGTCTCATAATTTTTATATCTTGTTTTGTCTTTTGTATTTTAACCGCTCTTTACTGAAAGTCCAAAGCGAAGGAAACACATATTTTCTTACAGATCAAGAAGAATGTAGCCGAACAGCGACTTCTGGTGCTTGGAGAAGATGTCAAACACACTCGCTAGTTGCTCAACAACACACACCTTTCTTCGAAGAGGACTTGAGGTTTTCTTATGTATTTGTATGCTCAACTTTATTTTTTTTCTTTTATTTTATTTTATTCTTCGCTTTTCTTTTTTTACTTATGACAGAACCCTTTCGCTCAATGTGTTTTCTGACGGCTAGACGGTAGGGTCGAGCGTCAATGTTAGGAATGTCCGCACTGAGGCAGGCAGTCGCGCACAAAAATAGACCTCTTCCTACATTGTAAGTTCCCTGAGTCATCCCTAGCTTGAAGGACTCGCGGCGAGAGGAGGGAGCGACGTCGGATTCGTTTTATTCTTTGGACACTTTTTCTTGTTGGTTATTTTTCTATTTTTAGACGTTTTCTGTTTATTTTAATCAGACTGCACAAGAGAATGTGTGTAGGTCTCATGATCGTTTGTAAAGTATATATAGGTTCATCGCGTCTTTTGAAATTGATTCTTCCCCCCCCATCCAATACTCAAGTACTCTTAAGTTTTCAAGTCTTTACTTTTTCACTGTCATCGTGTCCTGTCCTTTTTGATGACAACTCATATCGACAATGTCTGTGCTGATAGCTCTCACACATGTTCAAGACGCATATAGTCCACTAGACGCGCACAAGTTTATACAGAGATTAGACGGAGACATTGGGTGCGTTCACACGCCACTCACACTAAGCGCTCAGTCTTCTTTTCTTTGATCCCCATTCCTTTCGTACTTCATCCCCCTTATTTTTCTGTGGCAGATGACCAGTGACCCCTCCCTGTCCTTGAACTTACGTTCTTCCACAGTGGTGACCGAGACAGGGGTTCTGGTTTTCCGTTCTGCACCTTCGGCTATAGTCGAGAAAATATTGGTACGTCCTCATAATTTGAAAAGCGCGCTGATTACTCGGTTTTCAGGCGCATATATCCTCTTTTTCTTGCCACGACACGACCAAAACCCCTCCGCTTTCGAAACTTTGCCTTGGTTCGAAACTTTGAAATCTCTCGAAGTAGAAGAACCACATGTTTGGCCACATATACGCTAAGCATTCCTCTTTGATCTTTTCTTTCGCTTTGATTTTCTTTCTTTTTCTCTTATTTTGATGAGTCCTGTGGACAAAATAACATCTATGGATTCTATGGCTTCGTCCATGTCCGAAATGAGTCTTAACACTACTCTAGGTGTTCCTATGCCTATGCCAGGTGCTCCCAAATTCAAAGGGAAAAATGTGTTGGATTTTTTGGATTCTCTCGAGCAACACGCTGATAGTGCTAGAGTTTCGCATTCGCTTCTTCCCGGTTATGTTTTAAGATATTGTCATACGAAAGTTCAGATGGTCATTGGGGCGTCTAAACTTTTGGCTGGAGATGACTGGGTTGCTATGAGAGTTTATTTGACAGATCTTTATGGATCTAACAACTCCATTCCTCCTAATTCTCCTGATCGCTTGCGACACTGGTGCGCTAGTCATGGAGAGTCAGGCATTGTCGTGTCCCGCAAAGACGTAGATAAATATTATCGGGATTTCACCACATTATCTTCAGATTTGACACCCAGTAAAATGCTAGAAAATGACGTTAACCTTTGTTTTTACAGAGGGATTCCGACATCTCTACATACTCGAATCAAAAAGCGCATACCGGCTGCAAACCTCAAGACTTCTTTGCCTCCCACTACTGAATTTCTTCTTGGTCTTTTGCGAGCCGAGTTTGACGAGGAAGATCTGGACGCAAAAACTGCTTACGTTGGCCTTAGTCTAGATTCAGATTCTGACTTGAGCTCGAGTGATTCAGATGAAGATATCAACAAGGTGCTTATCAAGAAGAAAAAGAAGAAACCCTCGAAAAAGGTAGCTTTCAAAAAAACAGTCCCAGCTGTGCCGATAGTCGAACCGGTTGGATTCAGCCCTGTAGATCGACTTACCAAGCAAATGGAGGATTTGAGGTTGGCGCACGCTGAGTTTCTATGTTCCGTTAATATTACTCTGAACCCAAATCTAACCAATCAACAAATCCTGAGAGAAGCTAGGTGTTTCTTTTGCGACAAGACAACACATTGTCTTGGTTTGAAATTTTGTCCCGAAGTCGAGGCTTGTATTAAGGAAGGATTGGTGGCTTATACTCCCCTTGGTAGACTTGCGCGGTCCGACGGATCTGAGCTTCCCCGAGTTTTTGGAAGTGACAGCAGAGTCGCGAAAGTTTTGCGGGAACAACACGCTATGTCCAGTAATTTAAAAGGTAAGGCCAGGGAGGCCTCTAGAGACCTGCCTCCCCATATGGCCAACTATGCCAGTCTATTATTTGACGGTGAAGACGCACTTTCTTCGGAAGTATTTAATGCTTCGCCTTCTTCTGTGGTTCCTGAATGGCGAGCACCTCTTTCGTCAACACTGGCCGTTACTTGTTCTCAAAAGGACAAAGAAACTCGTTTCGACCCTATCAAGCATCCTGAAAAACATCAAACCGAAGCAAGTCTTTTCCAAAGTCTAAGGAGATTCAAAATAAAACTCCTGTACCTACCCTAGGCCAGCGAACATTCCCGTGGCTTCAACTCCTCAAGCTTTTAATTTACGACCCCCCAAAGTCAATACTGAGGACGTTTTCAAGAATCGAAGAGCGACACCATTGAAAACCAAAGATGTGGAGATGAAGGATGGGGAAACTAAAGCTAAGTCTACTCCAGCTTATCATTTCACGTCTGACATTCAAGAGATGTATGATCTGGATAAAATAGTGCATGAAAAGGTCAACAAGACGATCGTGCAACTCGAACTAGGGGAACTTCTCGCAATTTCGGCGTTCAGGCAGAAGTCAATCAGTAATATGACGAAGATGCGAAGAGAATACAAGTCCAAACCAGTGGTAGCGAACATTGTAGAGGTTCTAGAAGAGGCGGAATGGGACGAAGAAAATGCGATGCTGACGGAGCTCGCTGGTGGATATGACTCAGACGATGAGGACTTTTACAATACCCTTCCTACGGCTGAATCTTTTTCGAATGCAGGTTTTATCGAATCAAGAGTAGGTCTTGAGTTTGACGAGTCCAGGGAATTGAAGGAAAACATCCTGATCTGATATGTGTCTGCTGTCAAGATTCATTTGTCGCCTCAGCTGCTCTTTGTGATGGTAACAGGACATTTCAAGGGCAAATTCGCTGGAATAGATGCAGTTTTTATGATTGACACAGGATCCGAACTAAATTTGATAGCACAGGAATTCTATGACAGGACAAATTTAGCTATCGACCTCGACGGAACATGATGGTCCCTCAAAGGGATAAACGGACGACCAGTACCTTTAGGCAGATGTGTACGCGACGCGGAAATCAAGATTTCAGGACAACGTTTCGACCATCACATCTTCATCAGTAGGGAAGGCATGGGCAAACAAGAAATAATACTAGGACAGCCTTGGCTCCAGTGGTACTCTGCGTTGATTCAATATACTTGTCAAGGTGCAATGAACATGCGCATTTGGCAAGACGGCGATGGTGACAAAACTGATGGTTCACCACAGGGTCCTTCCGTTCTCATCCCACTTTGTACCCCTGGTGCACCTTGTAATGCAGCCACGCTCAACCTCGATCATCGCGTGAGAATAGAAGAAGTAGACGACGTTGACGCGGGAAAATGAGGACAGACGCGTATCCCAAGCCTGGAATTCAAGTTGACCAGGATGTGTCCATGCCGACTCTTGGGTGGGCGCTGCATTCTTTAATGGGGACTTATAGTTTTGAACCTTCTTCTTTTATTTCCGAGTTAGAACCCCCAGAGACTTATGATTTCATTTTGCAGAAAATTGTGCATTGCTCTCCTCGAACTTCTCACCCTTTATCAACCCCTTGGACCAAGCGCGCTCTCGTTTATGATTCAAATCCTCTTCAGATGAGGACAAAGTATAAGACAGTCGACAAGAAAGTCCAACCTGTCCCTAGTTACATGCCAGATCCAGCGGGTCAAACATTTCTTCCCGTATTAATTCCTCCACTACCTATTCTTCCATTAAATCCTCCGCTTCTCACACAATTTCATCCTTCAAAGCGTCTCACAGAAGACCATCTTCAGAAGATCCTGACGACAGTTCCCAAGGACTTCTTGCAACCTAGAGAAATCGACCTTTTGGTATACGTACTGCAGAAGCAGGAACTTGCCTTAGCTTTTGAAGACTCTGAACGCGGTACTTTTTCTGACAAATATTTTCCAGATTATGAAATTCCTGTTATTGAACACATCCCTTGGGTGCAAGCGCCTATTTGCGTGCCGAAAGCTATAGAAGAAACAGTTTGACAGATGTTGCTAGAGCAAAAAGCAGCTGGGAAATATGAGTATTCTACAGCATCTTATCACTCACGCATTTTCGCTGTAGGAAAGCCAAAAGGGGGGATTCGCCTCGTCGCAGATGTACAAGAACTTAACAAAGTAATGGTGCGTGATGCAGGCTTACCTCTGAGGACTGATGACTTCGCAGAAAGTTTTGTCGGACACGTCATATATGGCCTGGCAGATTTGTTTTCAGGTTACGATGGCCGAAAGTTAGGTGTCGCCTCCAGACCTCTCACAACTTTCAATTCTCTCATTGGTCCTCACCATTCTTGTGTGCTCCCTCAAGGGGCAATGAATTCACTGCCCGAGTTCCAGCGTTGTACTACACACACTTTACAAGAAGAGATCCGTAAATACGGCGGAGTTTTCGTTGACGATGTCAGACTAAAGGGACTGACTTCAAATTACGACAATGAAGAAGTCGTGCCAGGTATCAGACGTTTCGTTTTTGAATACGCTACTATTTTAGATCACTTCCTGGCACGCTTTATTGAAGCAGGGATAACTGCCTCTGGCAAGAAGCTCGTTCTTGCCATGCCTCATCTGCATATCGTCGGGACTATCGTTTCAAAGGATGGATGGCACTTAGAACACAGATTGGTAACTAAAATTTTAAACTGGGGACCTCTAACGAGTGTTACAGATGTCAGATCGTTTCTTGGGACTGCAGGGGTAGGCCGAAAATGGATAAAGGGATTCTCTCTTATCGCAAAACCTCTGACGCAGCTTACACGTATAGCTGTCCAACGAGAATTCCATTTTTCCTCAGAGGCTGAGTCCGTGCAAAAAGAACTCAAACGTCTTATCTCCATGGCTCCAGTTCTGGTAAAACTTGATTATGATGCCGTGAAGCTGATGACGCGTTTAGATCCTTTGCCTCGCACTTCAGAACATGGTCTGATCATTGTGGGCGTTGATTTGTGTCAAAACGGCACTGGGTGGATTTTATTTCAAATGGTTGAGAAAGAAAAGCATCTGGTGATTTTTGGATCTTGCACATTCAATGATACTGAATCAAGGTACTCTCAAGCAAAGCTAGAACTCTACGGAGTGTTCCGAGCAATTAAAGACCTTTGACATCGTGTATGGGGGATTCATTTTAGGATCAATATCGACGCAAAATTCCTGATCAAAATGGTGAAGCAACCCGATCTCCCTAACGCGCCAATGACGAGATGGATATCTTATATTGTGTTATTCGACTACGTAATGAATCATGTACCTGTGACGGCACATGCGGGTGTAGATGGGCTATCTCGGAGAAGACGTACTCCCGAGGATACAGATGACGAAGACGCAGAAGAGTATTTGGATAAATTTTTGGGCTCTTCCTCGTATCACGTTAATTCTGTCTCCTCATTGACGAACTTTTTGTCGACAGGATCTTTGAACGCCTACCGCTCTACGCGCTTGGACAATAACTTTTTCAAGGATCTTTTATTATCGATGCAACGCACACCACAAACTCCTTTTGCCTCTTTTCGAACCACTTCAATCGCTGAAGACCTTTCTTTCCCACAGGTGGTAGACCCAACACCGACTTTAGCAGCAGAGCTACAACGCTTGAAAAAGTCGAACTTCAATCATGGAAAGAAAGACTCGAGCAACGCTTTGCTCATAAAGCGCTCTCTTCTTGCAATCACTGATAATTTTTCTTATACAGGAAGAGAATTCGAGCACAGAAGAGTGTCCGTGTCAGAGGTAGTGGAGTGTGAGCTCGCGGGCGAAGTTTTTACTTTAGAGGTGCAGAAATACCCTCAAGCTTTTATGTCGTCTTTAAAGAAAGGTGCGTCTCAACCTACAATGACTGATCAATCTGCTCTTCCAGGAATCCCGGACCCATCTCTACGCACTGACAACAGGTTCAATTATGAAGACATCGACCCTCTAGAAAATGTCACATGCGCCACTCACTCCTATGGGGTGAAGGATCAAGATTCTCCGGAAATGTGGATGGAGATCATAGCATATCTGAAAACCGACACCTTACCTGAACGTTGTGAAGACTTGAAGCTACGAAAATCGTTCATTCGTCGGTCCAAGGGATTCTTTTTGCATGACGAAGATCGACTTTGGAAAATCGAACCTCAGGGAAAGCCACCTTGTCTTGTTGTGATAGACGTCGAACGTCGTTCCTCACTTATAGCAGAAGCCCATAACAACGTAGGTCATCGAGGACGCAATGCTACTTACAAAACTCTTTCAGAATGGTATTTTTGGCCGAACATGTACGATGAAATAGCTTACTTTGTCAGGTCATGCAATGTCTGCCAACTTCGCTCTAAGGCTTGTCCAAAAGTAGCATTTAGTCCTACTTGGAACTCAGGGATCTTGCGATGCTTCGACCTCGACACCATTCACATGCCAGATGGATTTGGTGGGATGAAATATCTGCTTCAAGCGACCGATCCTGCGATGTCATGGGTAGAAGTGCGCGCTGCACGAAAACCAAACTCGGAAACTTGGGCGAAGTTTCTCTACGAGGAAGTATACTCATGTTTCGGTTGTGTTCTCCTTTGTCTAGTTGACGGAGGATCAGAGTTTAAAGGCGCAGTTGATATTCTTTTCAAACAGTACGGAATCGTTGTTATAGTTTCGTCACCCTACCATCCTGAAGGAAACGGACACTCGGAACGCTCACACCAAACCCTAGTCAACTCGATCCTTCGTGCTTGTGGAAAGGACACGCATCGTTGGCCGCTTTACGTGCATGCTGGACTCTGGGTGATGTGATGCTCTACTTCTAGAGTGACTGGGTATCCTCCTTATTTCCTACTTTATGGTCAATGTCCTTTCTTTGCATTTGATATTGCAGATAGAACCTGGGATACGCTCAACTGGCATACCATGGCATCTACTGAAGACCTTCTTGCAATGTGTATGCAGCAAATTCTTCGTCGGGACAAGAAGCTCGTGCTAGCTATGGAACAACAGAAGCGAGTGCGTCAACGGGCTGTTGATGACTTTAACAGTAAGCACGAATGTCATCTGTCATCTGGGAATTTTCTTCTTGGGACTTGGGTATTATTGCATGAGACGTGGTTGGACGCTCAGATGGGAAACAAGGGAGCGCTTAGATGGACAGGACCCTATATCATTCACAGGAAAGTTCAAGACACGACTTATCAGTTACGAGAGCTTGACGGAACTGTCATGCGTGGGTCGGTTGCGGCTAATCATTTAAAGGTTTTCTATTACCGAGAAGAACATCAGACGGTCAGAACGGTAGAACCTGCGGAATATGCTCTTCACGTCGCCGCAAATATGTCTTCATCTTCACACGCTTCCATCATCATTGGGACTCTCAACCAGTCGTTGCTCGCCACTCCTGCTTTCCCAGTTTCTATCAAAGTCAGGATCGCCGTTCTTCCTGAAAATCGTTCTCTTTCGTGCCTTCCAGCTTTTGCACCGTCGGCTTTCACGTCTCAGCACCTTCACCATGGCTATTATCCCAATATCGCAGAGCTCGATCCCACGGACAACAACCCCATTCGATATGTTCGCTACACTGCTTCATCAAGTGTTTTTCAAGGTCATATTCATGAAACTCTCCTTGAAGATTCAAACATTCTTGACCTCGAGTCTTTGGCTCTCGATGCTCTCCCTCTTCGCTAAGTCCTTCGTTTGCCTTTTTATTTCCCCTCTTTTTGTACGCACAACAAAACGATGGGGGCATCGTTTTTAAAACTTTTCCTTATTGTGGAAGTGTGTCATGTTCCATTCATGACGCCTTCTGTATTTTGAGTTTTCGTTTCTGTCTCATAATTTTTATATCTTGTTTTGTCTTTTGTATTTTAACCGTTCTTTACTGAAAGTCCAAAGCGAAGGAAACACATATTTTCTTACAGATCAAGAAGAATGTAGCCGAACAGCGACTTCTGGTGCTTGGAGAAGATGTCAAACACACTCGCTAGTTGCTCAACAACACACACCTTTCTTCGAAGAGGACTTGAGGTTTTCTTATGTATTCGTATGCTCAACTTTATTTTTTTTCTTTTATTTTATTTTATTCTTCGCTTTTCTTTTTTTACTTATGACAGAACCCTTTCGCTCAATGTGTTTTCTGACGGCTAGACGGTAGGGTCGAGCGTCAATGTTAGGAATGTCCGCACTGAGGCAGGCAGTCGCGCACAAAAATAGACCTCTTCCTACATTGTAAGTTCCCTGAGTCATCCCTAGCTTGAAGGACTCGCGGCGAGAGGAGGGAGCGACGTCGGATTCGTTTTATTCTTTGGACACTTTTTCTTGTTGGTTATTTTTCTATTTTTAGACGTTTTCTGTTTATTTTAATCAGACTGCACGAGAGAATGTGTGTAGGTCTCATGATCGTTTGTAAAGTATATATAGGTTCATCGCGTCTTTTGAAATTGATTCTTCCCCCCCCATCCAATACTCAAGTACTCTTAAGTTTTCAAGTCTTTACTTTTTCACTGTCATCGTGTCCTGTCCTTTTTGATGACAACTCATATCGACAATGTCTGTGCTGATAGCTCTCACGCGTGTTCAAGACGCATATAGTCCACTAGACACGCACAAGTTTATACAGAGATTAGACGGAGACGTTGGGTGCGTTCACACGCCACTCACGCTAAGCGCTCAGTCTTCTTTTCTTTGATCCCCATCCTTTCGTACTTCATCCCCCTTATTTTTCTGTAGCAGACGACCAGTGACCCCTCCCTGTCCTTGAACTTATGTTCTTCCACACCTGCAGAATCAATATCATCCTCACATTCAGCATATAGTAGTCAACATGATTTAGTAGTTACACATAGATAGTAGTTCCCCATAGCTAGGTTTGGCCCACCAAATATGATGCAATGCATCAAAATTATGGGGTCTGGTGTGAATTGAAAATGGTCAGTGCCAATACATCAACAATACATATCCCCTCTTTTTTTCATAACATACTGCCACCTGGTTTAATAAAACCTGGATACCATGATTCACAATATATAGTTTTGTGGTTTAATAAAGCCTGGATTCCATGATTCACACCATCTGAGTACCACTAGCCCTGGTTCCATGGTGTCAAAATCAGATTGCTGAACATGGTTTCCATCCCTCGAAGGGGGGCATCTCCAGGTGTGAAATTCTGTACTACCACGTGGTCACCGCCATGTTTTCCAAACATGAAGACACTTTGGCGGTGTAAACAAAGATGCATCGTGACGTGCCCACAATTGGGGTTGTTGATGTGTCACAGAACTTTTACTTCCAACTCTGCTGTCAGTAAGCATGACAATGTGGTGACAATTCTCCGAATTCCTTGTTTGAGGGGATAGGTGCAATTCTTCACATAATGTTCCAAAACAACCTGGAAGTAGTTATAAATATACCCAATAACATGTATTCCAAATATCTAAGGTCCATCTGGCATAGAACTTGTATTTCAAAAAGTGCTGACTGATAGGGTCTGCCAAATTACTATATGGAAGGTGACACGTCACATGTGTGAGAGTGGGGGAGGTGAAGGACTGTTTCCCTTGCATAACATGGTACTGGTACTGTAGCATTTTGTTCAATTCGACAGGGCCCGTGACGCGTGACAGGCCTGTCGAAATTTTGGTTTCGACAACCACACAAATTCGCCGTGACAAGCCGAAAATTTGGACAATTTTTCGACCACTTAGCGCCGCAGGCCACGAAAAATTTCGACATTTATCACATGAGCGCCAGATGATTTCGACACCTTACAAAAATCTGCGTGACCACCGTGACATTTCAGCAATTTGAAGGGCACCGTGACGCGTGACCGTCGAATTGAATGAAATGCTACAGTACGTTTACACCTAACTGCCAACTAACTGCATAATTGTAGACCACATCTGAAATTTCACTTTGCACCTTTGTTTGTGCATAAACATCTGTTTTAGGCCGTGGCTATGTAAACCATGATGCCCATGCACTGGCATGCGCTGTCCATTGCTCCACATTCTAGCACCAGTTGCTCCAAACACTCCAAGCCCGCCCCCACATCATAAGGGTGGAGCGGTTGGAACTTGGAAGGGTGTTCTACCTAATATGGTTGTTTGTACAAATAAAGGTGCACAAAGTAAAATTTAGATATGGTCTATGATTATGCAGTTAGCTGTAACCTCCAACTGCAAAGGGGGCATTGAGGGGACAGCCTGATTTTTTTCTTTTCTTTTGCTTGAATCTTCAATAGTGTGTATAGCCAGCCCAAAGCCAGCCAACATAAGCTTGAAATCATACATACATTAGACATCAAAAGCATTCAAGCAAAAAAAAAACGGGGGTTGCATAAAAACCAGGCATCAGTACCGTGATATCATTGGGAGGGTATAGCTAAACCGAGTCAGAGGTACATAGCATATCAGTCATTCCAGATCCATACCCAGTCCCTCCTTTCATCCCTTCCTTCACCCCAGGCATTCGTCCATCCATCCCGTTTCCAGAAAAAAAAAACCTTCTCCCAACCAGCCAGCCTATGTCCTCCCCCCACTACCTCACCATCACCGTCCACTCGTCGGATCAGGGCACAGAGCGTGTACGGGTACGCCAGCCTCCTCCCTCCACAGACTCAGACTCCTACCCTAGCGACTACCGCGCCGCTTAAGCCGAAGTTGAGGTCCCGGTCTTCTGAGCGACTTTCCTCTGGTACCAGCTCCATTGGGACGGGAGACGGAATGATAAGTGGTGGTCTTGGAGGAGGGGGTACCAAGTTTGTGGACCCCTTGTTGTTGAGGAGGTACCAGCAAAGTCAAGAGGGGTTACAGGTGAAGATGCCGATGCCAAAGCCGGTGGGGAAGGTTCCGATTGGGCAGTTGATTGCGTTTTTTGATGGGGAGAAGGGCTGTGGATTTGTAATCGCCACCCCCAGGTCCACCAGGTGATATCGAGTTTGAGGTGGTGGAAGACAAACTCCCATTCGCGTTCTTGAGCTTGATGCCGGAAGACTTGTCGATCGTCTCTTCACATTCTCCAAACTCTCCCACTCCTTCCTCCTCCTTCTTCTTGTCGTAGTCATCGTCCCCCACGGGAGAAAAGGAAAATGACCCCCCAATCACACGGGAGTAGGACCGCGGTGTTCCTACTCTTTTCAGCAAATGGGCGTAGCAGGTGGATCTGTATGGGTATTAATATTCGCATTGGTATTGGCGGCGGTATTGGCGGCAGTGGCAAAAAACAAAGAAGCAGCGTTCGAGGAAAACTCAGCCTCGTCAGGCGGCGCAGTTATCGGTCCTCCAAGCGCAACGGTGTACTGTTTCCTCGGCGTGGGGCTTACACTCGTTTGTCGTTTACCAACAGCCGATTTTGGGGGTGGCGGCAAACCTTGTTGTGTTCCTCGTCCTTTTGCTGGTGCGGGCGTTGGGCTGGCCGTTCGGTTGACCAAAGCAGACGCAGGAGCGAACTTGGGTTGAGCAGGCGGGGACGGCGGCCTGCCCGCACCCGAAGCCAGTGAGGAGAGTGATGTGGTGGAGTACGAAGCACCCGGTAGTGTGCCCACTCCTGAGGATGCATGGAGGGGTAGCCCCGAAATGGCCGTAGACAATGGCCTCATAGCGGAACTAATCGACGAAGGTGGAGAATTACTAGGAGAGAATGTGTCTGGCGGAAAAGAATAATCTCCCGCAGGGTAAGGTAACCTCGTTCTCGACTCTCTGCTCTTCGAAGTCATGGGAGAACTCGTAGATTCCCTCGCAGTGGTACTGGATAACCTGGGATGGTGGATGGGCGTGCTGGGTGCTGACAGAGATCCTGTTAAGTGCGTTGGAAGAAGTGCGTGACTATGGAGGAAGTGGTTTGTGGTGCTAGCGATACAGCGGCGGACTGCGTTCTAGGTCCCGCAGAAAGATTATTGGGGGCCGTGGCAATTTTCACCATCTCCCGACCTAGTTCGCCCAATCGCCCTTGGAGCTCGATGACTTCGTCTCGGAGTTCATGGATCTCATCTTTCCCGCTATCCGTCGAACCTGCGTGTCTTAGCGACTCGGATTCGGATGCCTTGTCCTTCTCTTTGTCCTTTTCCTTCTCCGCTTCCTTATCGACTAACCACCTCTTTACATCATCCACCCGATCTTCCAAAGCCCTAACGTGGCCCACGGTCCATTTTTTGAGCTTCTCGAACGTTTGGCCATCATTAGGTGTGTACCTGGTACGTCTAGTGTTTTGTGAATTGTGCATACAAGGTGGACACTCGCGAGAAGGGGAGGAAGACAATGTATCGGTTGTATGCATGGGAGAAGGCGTCAAGTTGGATGGCAGATTCGAGACACTTGGACGAGGAGGGCTAGGCGAAGACGTGGAAGGAGAAGGTGCGGGGACGCGTCGGATGGGAGTTATTGGAATGTTGACTAGATCGTGAATCTGCCTTGGGCCACTCCTTCTCCTTGCCTTTGACGTTTTGCTTGTTATCCTTATCCCTCGCCATTGTGTCCAATATAATCTGTTGAGCAGGCGTCAAAGGGTCTTTCGTAGGCGTAAGCCTACTCTCCGCAGCAGACCACCGATTAGTAGCCACCTGACTCTTTCCGCGAATTAGACGGGGAGGGTGGGTCAGGTATGTGAGATCTGAATGGTGGTGGTGGGAGCGTCTCTCTATCATAGCCAACCCACAGTCTTCACCGAGTCTCCTGCACTGAGCCTCCCGCGAGTATAGTTTCTGCCTCTCGATGACTACGGTTGCGTTCCCTCTCCTCTTCCGCTCCAGCTCTGCGTCGCTTTGCATAGGTGATCGCGGTGCAGTGCCTCCTACGAATGTATCCTTCCTTTGGGCGAATCTGGCTGCGAGATGGGAGACGGATAAGGCGGGTGATGGGGAACCTCGCTGCCATATCCCTTGGTCGTTGTTGTCGTCTGAGCCGTTGTCGGACATGGAATGGAGTCTGGATTGAGGCCTGTCGATTGGAAAGAACGCGTTTCGGAGTGGAGAGGGTGGACAGTGTGACGGTGATCTTCCTCTAGGAGGCTAAGAGAAGGATGATTGATCAGTGGAATAGTCGCGATCTGATGTTATCCGAGACATACATTAGAAAGACAGCCAGCAGACATCCTTCGTTGATGTCGGCCATTCAAGCTCCACGGTACTGGTGCTGGGAGGTGAGAGTGGAACTATCATTCAGTCACTTGGAAAGGCCCCCATATGTGGGACCCAGTGGTGAGATATTGGCATGGGTGAGTCGACGTCGTTACTTTGTGTTGTCTGAAAGGTTCCGTTATGTTTTGACCTTTGCCTGGATTTGCTTCAAAGTTCAACCGCACCTGCTCATGTCAGTAAGCTTTATGCGCGAAAAATGCTCCACTTCGTACTCACGCGCTCGAACGAAGGACAAGGAGATGTCAAGAGCGTTCAGTCGAACGGAACGTGGGTCACACCTGGGTCACATTCATCTTCAAGGACACCATGACGTTGGGTAATCATTCCATCTCATAGTCGTAACTCCAAAGGGCTGATCTATAGTTGCAGTGTTCTTCGTGCCCAGTGCTAGTGAGGACGCATTCCGAGTGATATGCGACCGGAGATCATCTCAGGGTGAGTTCGTGCTTTCTCTTCTCTTCTTCTGGGATCTGAACCTGTTTCCACTCTAGCTTCCTGCGTCGGCGGACCATCGAAGTCGACAACTGTATCAGTTGTCCTTCCTTCCCCTTAATTTGCTCTCGCAGAGAACTCGCCCTATAACGCCGATTATTCTTCAGTCACTCTCCCGACGTGAACCATGCTCTTCCCTCCCCCTGAGTAATGGGCTTTTCGCAGAGGACTCGCCCTATAACGCCGATTACGTTATACTCAGGTGTGCAAGAGGGTCGCCATCTTGTGGCCCACGCAACTGGATTCATTGCAGTTGCCATCCAGGCCGCTCAACCTTCAACCCTACGACCCACGGAAGTGCCATCGCATCTCCCAGACTCGTCAATGCCATGTCGCCCTAGATCTTTGACCTTCAGTACGCAAAAGTTTTAACGACCATCTTTAGCCGCCGCCTTTCCTACGTGTGCCAAGTAAACAACCAGGTTCTGAAACTTCCCCTTCTATCGTCATCGTGCCCTCTTTCTCGTTGTGGTCCGTTCGTGAAACCGAGAAGACACGGCGTATTTCAATGGAACGTCGCGATGGAAGGGGAGGAAGTGGGTTCTTCGACTAGGATGTGTGCGGATCGTTCTATAAGTACGCTTCTCTTCTCCCCTCCCTTTTTTACAAAAGACTTTGCTGACACCGGCATACAGACCTACAAAGTCCACCCCGTTCTCATTTGCTCATGTCCTCTTCGACTCTATTCCACAAGACAGGCAAGGGCTAGCGCTCACCGCTTTCTCCGACCTTCTTTTCCCCTTCTCCTACTCGTGGCCAGCTCTGGGCTGCTGCACAAGATTCGTAATAGCTCGAAAGAAAGCCCTTGGTGGTTGACTCCGAGCGCATGGCCGAGCGGAGTATAGGCCAGTGCAGAATCCCGCCGTATGTGCTTACCCCGTTACCTCGTTCTTACTTGGATGGAGGATAGCAGAGAGAGAAACGGTTTCGGGATATTGGGTGTGGCGATCAAGAGCGATGATTGTCCTTGTTGGTGGCGCTCTTTTTGCAGAGCCGCCACGCCCTGTGTCGTCCTTTCGACCGGGGTAAGCATTCGCTTCCCTCGTTGTTCGATCTTTCAGTATTCAACGTTCAATTTCCATCCCCTGTAGCCGCTACCTCCACCTCCGTTGGTGATCGATGGAGGATTCGACTAGCCGCTTACCCTTTCGGTTTGTGCGTGGAATTAAGAACGGCCGTTGACAAAACCTTGTGCTGTGGAGTTCCTATCTGCATGGTAAGTCTCTCGAATTAGTTCCTCGAAGATACGAACAACACCACCCCTTTGACAGAATGACTACCCTTATCAACGATCACGAAGAGCCTCCGGCTTGTTGAAACGACTTTTGACTGCAACTATCATCGTGATACTGGTGCCTTTCCTTTCAACTGGGCCATTCACGCTCGCAACGTGACTCTTCACCCTCCTGTGGTCCGTCTTCTTGGTTCTCCCTTTCTGTCCTTACTCATCCATCTTGTCACGGTGTCTGCTCTCAGCCGGTCACAATTTACTCTCTCTCCGTTTGTAGGGTATGGAAGTTTCCAACTTGGGTTAGCGTTTATTCGGGAGGTCGTAAAACAACTTACTGTGCAGAATCTACGCAGAAAGACCCATGGGCCATCTGTAGCATGCCGTATCGTGTACAACTCCCGCGCTACATACAAAACATGAAATTCTGTTTCCGCGACAGAGGTTATATGAAACTTGTAGGAGTAGGAAGTAATAGCAGATCAGTCAAACGTCTTGGCTTTGCCGACGTTGAAGCTTCAGAGTCGCGTGTCAAATCAGAGACTGGGGCTTGCAGCCAAAAAAACCACTACACCATCGAATACCGCTACCAAGATGTACCAGACTTTACGCCCCTTCTCCTTCCCGTGGAGCAAAAGCAGAGCATACATACGCACCCCAAGCAAACCTGTGGACAATTGTTGTGAGCACTAACCCGACGCATGCGAAGCATCCAAGCATGACCGACCTATGCGCAATAGCCACGCCCCCCCACCCTCCATGGAAGTCGGCGTCCGCGCGAGAAGAGACGAATGCCCTCCGATGAGTATGGTGTTTTTCACCCTAGGGCCTTGCCCTTGGTAGTTCGTTATTGGCCGGAGAAACTATTGAAAAAGAAGGCAGGTGTCAGTACTCGTCGTCGTCGGCCACGCGTGATCCACACTTACAAAAGCCAATGAAGCGGTGGGTACATCCGTATGCGTGACGTTGCGGCAGCCCGTGGCGACGACGAGCTGCGGATGGATACACACGATGGAGAATCTATGCGGTGTGAACGCCGAGTTCAGAGGTAATGATTGCTGGTATCACAGTGGGGCCATTGAGTGGCATACCGTGTATGCCACGACACACAAAGCGTCGGGATGAGGTAACCGAAAAGCTCTGAACACTGCGCGAGCATTTGGAGGGGCGAATGATTGAAAGCCACATAGCTGGGCGCAATCGATGAGACGATCGATGTGAGGGGTCTGCCTGCGACCACTGGCAAAGATTCGATGTTCGACCAATGAGCTTGGTATGGAGGCGAGTTCGTTAACAGGATTAGACAATGGCGAAATTTCCTTCGTGAATCGATACACGAGGGAATGTTGCGGTCATGGTGGAGGAAAGACGGTACAAGCATCGAAGTTGGGCTTGCATTGGGGTTATGAAACCAGAACCTGAGTAACGAACGGGGGAGTTAGCGAACGAAATATCGAATATATGCGAGGTGAAAAGGCATCCAGAGGTCGAGGGAGGGATAAGGGTAGGAATGAATAAGGGCGCCGACTTACCAAAGGAGAAATGACCATTATCCCTACTTTCCAGCTCTCCGACTGAGGCTTGCGCTTATGACCAGGTGGACGGCAGTACTTAACCTAGTATGCTATCTTGGAGCTTATCGAAAGAGCATTACCGTCGTCGAGGTGGGCATCGTTAGAAACGCCACGTCTGCAATGGAAAGGCCGTTCAGGGCAGGCGTTGTCGACTTGTAGGAAAGAAATGCTGACGACCAATTCGAGCTAACCAAGTCTCCTCCGTGTTATGCAAAGTGGCTTCAAGCGGGTTACCGGGTGGTAGTCTAAAGATGGAATTGAAGTTAAAAAAGTCGATTGCAATCCTGTTGATAGCATAAACATCCAGTAAACGTTCCAATGTCAGAGTTTTAATTAGCGTACCCAAGTCGTACCAGTAGAGATGTGTGGTTTGCGGTCTTGTACGCATGGCGCTCGTAAACGGAATTGACAGGACCGGAACTGTCACAGAATTGTCAGCATATTAGCCTAACGTGGGCAGACGGAAGAAGAGGGGTATGGTTGCGGCACAGAAGGGGAAAACGAGCTAAGGTAGAAAGGGGAGTAAATCTAACGGAAGGAGGATCTCACTCAGAGCCGATGCACTCGAACATCTTCAGCGCATGCTTTCAATCTCAACAGCTGCCCGCTCTCTGTGGATCGGTACAAGTTGACGAAGGCGGTTATCGGGTTTCATTTTGATCACAGCGGGAGGTCGGGTCTCCAGGCGATGTCGGCAGTAGCTGAACCTAGAGAGGAAACATTGGACGACTCGTCATGAAACTCCATTCGACGAGGGGGGTTCGCGGCGAGTTGAATCCATGGGTACTTCGCGACGGGAAGCTGGCCGAACAAACACAACATCGACTTGACAACAACAATTTTGCAAGTAGGAGGGCCCATAGGTGGGTCGCAAGGTAATGAAAGAAAAGTAGTCGTCTTTCGCACAGCCACACGCAAAACAAGCACGACCGTGACCACGCATCTTCCTTTCGTTCGTCCCTTGGAGTTTCAATTTCCCTCAGTCTTGAGAGGTGTTCGTCGTTTTGCTTCTCTGACACACTTCTCAGTTGACCGCCATCCTTGTGGCCTGACTTGACACCGAACCACTGTGGGAGGCAAGTGGGAGGGACCTCAATCAGGAACGTCAGCTGACGGTGTGAAACGGTCCGTTACCCATTTTGAAGATTGACGCCGCACAGCATCGATTCTCTCTTCTGAACCATCATGTCTGATCCTAGTAACCCCCGCGAAAATCGTTTGAAACGCAAGCTCGAAGAATTGCCCGGCACGATCGCTGACCACCCACGCAATAAACGCTATGGTAGTTTGAGGTTAGAGGTCATGATCTCGCGCTACTAGATAAATATTAACGTGAATCTGTCAGCCCCAGCTTTGCCCCGCCTATGTTGATAACTCCATCTTCACCATCAGTGCAGCGGACGTAGCCATGGCAGGCAGCAGTAAGATACATTTAATCTTCGTGCGTCGAAGTGAGCA